AGGGTACGTTTTCGGCTATTTTTCTGAAAATTTTCTGATTCAATTTTTCGTTGACAAAACGTACTAGGGAACTATGCTTAAGAACGAAATACATCACACAAGCGGCTTCACAAGCCAAGCGAAATATCCCTTTGCTGCAAGCCATTTGTGTTGTGTATGGGGTTTGTCGAGGCGCTGAATATAATTTAAAAAAAATCAACATTTTTTGATTTTCTGGTCGCCATGTTGAAGTTTGATCAAACCGCTTGCGCTGTGTATGGAAAGTTTAAAGAATTTGCCCGCACCACTAGTATACTCTACCCACTAGCGGCACCCACTTTGGGAAAGCCTGGGCTAGAGAATGCGTTTAGTTTGCATAATCAGAAGTAATAACCTTATGACCGCATTTCCTCTTACTCTGCATGTGCCTAAATGTATGCAACCATTTGCAATGGCAAGTAGGCGCAGGGTGTCTCTAATGAAATTAAAAGTTTTCTGCTGCAATACACAAGTTTGAGATGGCGCATCGCGTAGTTTCTTCCTTTTCCGCTGTACCCTTTGTGCATTTTTAGACGCAGTGCCACAAAAAGGAAACGCAAGCACAAGGTAGCATATTCGCAGGGTGCACTTGATGATTTTTTTTGGAATTTTTTTTTGGTTATTCGAAAAAATTTGTTTGGTGATGCATTTCCGAACGATTTTTTTTTGCAGTTCGCAAATATTTTTTTTGCATTTATGCATTTTATGAATTTATGATGCTTTTCCGAACGTTTTTTTGCAGTTTGCCTTTAATAAGGTTTTAAACGAATTAACAAATTTATGTATAGAATTAACAATAACCATCGCGCCGTCAATTTGATACAGCGGCGAATCAGCCCTTCGAAATTTTCTGGGGTGCTATGCGTTACAGCTTCGCAAATTTTACCCCTACCGAAACCAAAGATGTATACACATCAAAAAAATAAAAATCATTAAACAAACAATGGCAAAATAGCCGAAACTGGTCAAAATGTCGTGTCCCTATTACCTTTCACATGCATAATTAATGAATTAACTTGATTTTCCCCTCATCTAAATTTGGTTTATCAGGTTTCAAGCAGACAAATAAAAAATAACTAAAATAGTTTTGTTTTTGCAAAGTGTATTCATATGATCAAAATAATAGAAACAATACTTTTTGACCAGTTTTGGATATTTTTCTCTTATTTGTTTAATGTTCATAAGTTTTAACGGATTTATGTGTTCCTTGTTATATAATGGCTAAACTTTTATAAAAAATTAATGAACATTAAACAAACAAGAGAAAAATAGCCAAAGTTAATCAAAATGTCGTGTTTATATTATTTATGAATTAATTTATAATAACTTATTTCTGTTACCCAAACCCATATATAATAAATAAAACAAAATATATACATAGTATATAAAATGAAAAAATATTTCCGGATTTATTTTATTATAAGGTGAAACTACACATTTAAATAGCAACAAAAATGTAAATTTAAACATACCACGAATATTTTTACAAAAAATAATACTACACATTTGGAATTAAATTTCGCGTACTTTTAGTACAAATTTTTAAACATTTTCTGCTGAGAATTAAACACATTTTGTGTAGAATTAAACACTCATTTGGGGTTAAACTTTGCGTCCTTTTAGTACACATTTTTTTAAATTTTTTATTGAAATTTAAACCTATTTGTGTTAAGTTAAACACTCTTGGTTTAGATATTGCACATCTGGCATTTAATTTCGTGTTCTTTTTGACGCAAATTTTTTTAAATTTTTTGCCGAAATTTAAACAAACTATTCGTTGAATAATCGAGTATGTAATTTCGCGAATAAAAAGGTAGGAAATCAGTAACCTAACTTTTAGCATGTAAGATTACACATTTTTTTTAGAGTGTAGATGAAAATTAAAAATAATTGTTGTTTTGGATTTATAAAACAAAAGTCAGACATAACGGTTATTTAAGGAATAATTAAATAAAGGTAAAAAAATAATTGCTAAAGAGCGATTTTTTAATAAAAGTTGTAACTGTTACGGTCCTTGCTTTTAAGTTTACATCAGGATATTCCGTTTAGCTAACTGATGGTAATGATTTTCTGAATGTACTACATCTTTTGGAGGTGTCAGGCACCTGGTAAACAATCGCTCTCTTTCAGTTTACTAAAAACGCCACGCCCTCTAGTATAAACTCATATGTGTACATTTACCATACATATTCTTACCAAATTTCGAATTCATGTGAATTAAGGGTCCAAAGATATAGCAATGGTAAAATTTCACGGCTATTGAATGTGCCGCGGCTCCTTGTACAAACTATTTTATATTTACCTCACCATATGCGCCAACTTTAGTTACATATGTCTTCACGCCAAATTTTGAAGTCATGTGACTTATCGTTCCTAAGTTATAGCTGATTACATTTTTATCTGTGGTATGTTCCACGCCCCATTTACAAACTTAATTATATATATGGATACTTTACTTTCCGCATATATCATAGATCCGTCTTCACACTAAATTTTAAAGTAAAGTGATTTCCGGTTCCGAGTTATTTCTGACGAAAAAGTTCATGCCTGTGGTATGTGCCATGCCCCTTTCACAAAAGTAAATATACTTTACTATAAGCATCTAGTACTATCGATATGTATGTCAACATACCAAATTTCAAAGTCGTGTTTCTTACGATTTCGAAGTTATAGTTGATTAAAAATTTCACGCCTACGGGATGTGCCACGCCCCTTGTATAAACTCATTCATATTTACCTCAATATAAGTGCCTACTTTAATTATATCTTCACATCAAATTTTGAAGTCATGTGACTTATCGTTCCTAAGTTATAGCTGATTAAAATATGACGCCTATGGGATATTCCACGCCCCCTTTTACAAACTTTATATACGGATACTTTACTTTAAGCATCTATCATAGATCTGTCTTCACACCAAATTCAAAGTCACGTGACTTACGGTTCCGAAGTTATTGCTGATTAAAGATATCACACCTATGGGATTTGCCAGACGGCCGCTGTGGTGTAGTGGTAAGTAGTGCGCGCTGGGTTCAAGCCCTGGTCAAAGCAACAAAAAAATATAGAAAACATGTTTTTGCTTAAAGGCGGTCGCACCTCGGTAGGAAATGGCAAGCCTCCGAGTGTATTTCTGCCATGAAAACATCTTCTCATAAAAATACAATCGCCGTGTGGAGTCAGCGTAAAACTGTAGGTCCCTTCCCTTTGTGTCAACATCAAGGCGCACAAATCGGAAGAGAATCTTACTATAAGCGCCTACCATGGATATGCCTTCATATCAAATTTTAAATTCATTTGACGAATAATTCCGAAGTTATGGATTAGTAAAACTTTCACACCTACAGGATGTGCCGAGCCCCTTTTACAAAAGTATGGATATACTTTAATATAAGTATCTACCGTAGATATGTATGTCAACACACAGTCATGTGACTTCGAAGTTAGAGCTCATTAAAAATGTCACGCTTATGGGAGGTGCCACGCCTCTTGTCGGATCCCATTTTTTTGCACCCCATGTTATGTCCGAGGTCACTGTCTAGATACCACTTAAAGCCTAATGAAAATCCATTCAGTAGTCCCAGAGATTAGTGAGCTCAAACAGACAATCAAACAAACTACAGTTTTATTATAGTATAGATTTTTGGATGTTCCACGTAACGGTCGAACTTAGGTTCTAAGGGATATTTAAGTGTCGAATGTGTTGAATGTAAGATACATTGCTTTTGCAAAGAAAAAAATGGCCTTTAGGTTTTCTATAAGTTCGCGGCAACCTTGAGTATAGTGTGATGGCAGCGAAGGCAGCCTATTGTCGCGAAAATAGGAAAGCCAAAAATGCCCGCCACTGTTATATCTATACCCTTGGGCAAAAGTGCACTTGGTTATAGAAACGAACTATTTGAAGAAAAGCAAGTGATATGTTTAGCAAAACGATACGCGAGTCATTCGTATTCGATCAATGTATGGATGGATGAGCGGATGTTTTTAGGTACATACACATACCAATGTATTTGCATGTGTATAAATAGGCGCACACTTGTATATACATATGTATGAATGTATATTTATTTGTATAGAAACGGTCGTATAGGTTTCATTGAAATGGGTAAGGCCTGCACAACGTCACGTCAGTTTGTCATTCGTCGGCGCTTAAAGCAAAGCAAGTGAAGCGCTTTAACAGCAAACACGCAAACGGCACAGTGATCGGACTTCAAAAAATTCTGTGTGGTAGAATCTGAAAAAAAAATTTGGTATATTTCAAAAAATGTGGAGATCTCTGGGTTTGGATCAAACTTTGTACAAAAATTAAAAAAATTCTGCAAGGTTTCACCGAAATTGCAAACTTTTTAATTATACTCTAAAACAAATTCAATAGTATAATAAAGTGCAAGATTGAAGTTGCTAAAAATTGCGTTGAGTTTTGGCAATTTTGGCAGTTCCTTTCATATCAAGATATTTTTCGAACATATTTTAAGAGACTTCTGCAACCTTGCGGAGTGTTGCCAACTTTTCTTTTTATCACATCACGAAGTAGCGAACAAATACGGCACGTTCCAGAAACCGCTACAAAGGGATTTGCCGATTTTGACAATTCTCAAGTAAAAGTAAACAACGCCTTAGAAATTTTAGATGCACTGAAATTTGATAATACCTTCACAAAAATCGCCGTTTTTTAACATTTTCGCTATTAATTCTTTGTATAAATCATATATTTTGCAATTTAACACAATAAAACCACGTTTCCTGTCGAAAAATTTATTACTGAGAAAATTTACTATTTCAAGGTTTATTTTATCCTCCCATTCGGCTTTGCTTACTTTTACTTGAGAAATTTCATCGTCGACGGGAAAGCGGAATCTGGTATTATATCATTCTTGTTACCATATAGTGTTTAGTGTTGAACAATTTTTGCTCTTAAAATTAAGAAAATTATGTCGAGCAAAAATATAAATAATTAAAAACGCAAATATGTGGTAGATTTCAGACCTTGAGTGGTAGATGCTCAAAAAAGTGGCAGATCTACCACAATGTGGTAAAAGTCCGATCACTGCACCGGCATTTCTCCGCTGCCTTCGCTAACCAGCGTTGCCGTTTTCTAATTCTCGAGCGGAGTGAAAAGAACCAAAAGTGTGGAGTGTTTTTGGGTTTTTTCGCAGTGTCAAAGTAACAGTCGTTGGCCAAACTCATTTGTGTTATAAACATATACTTGCCTGTGTACATATATCTACATACCTGTTGTTTTTAAATATTAACAATGTTTTGCAAGCTAAAATTTTTTTGTAATTTTTTTTAAGAAATGTGGTTTATGTTATAAAGAAACTATAAAAATCAAAGTTTTATATTTATACACAATTAAGGAAAGTTCAACTATTCATCAAAACTTTCTATCATTATGCAGTTTCATAACCCATTCAATTTTGCTATAATAATGTGTAAATTTTAAGTGGCTCGTGTTGATTTTTTAAATTTTTTTGCAGGCGTTTCTACACAGTCTCTACAAAGTATGAACAAAATTTATTTTATATAGAAAAAAGTTTTTTTTTCTTTTTCGATGATGATATCATTGCCTTTTTATGATCAGGAAACATTGAATACAAATTTTCACAATTTTATCAACAGTGAGTTAGGTATTTCCAAATTATTATTTTTTTTTGCAAATAGCTTACGTATAAACTAGAGACCATAACGATTAGCTATAATAAATAAAATTAAATATTACTGTATAATTATAACTGAACAAAGTCAATTTGTTTTCGTCTCCTGAGACGAAAATCGTTAGACTAAAAGCTTTTTAATCTTCTCCTAATAATTATCTGGGAGTTTTTTTATTTTTGGTCTCGCGGGGTTACTATTTTAAGATGGAAATTATTTTCGTCTTATCATAGTAGTTATATGGGACTTTTGTGAACCCAAATATTAGGACAATCCATAATTATATTGGGTCTCTGATATAAACCTAGCAGGTATATATTTGGGGTATTCACAACGGTGTCGTAAGTGTCGTATTGTTAGGGGGTTCGAAAAGTACCATCAAAGTCATTTTATGCATTCTCGCAGTGTTAAAGAACAGTTAACTGTGGTTTCAAGTTCTATAAACATTTATTTAAGCTTTTAAAGTTTGCGACATACAAAAATACGACACTTACGATACTGTTGTGAATCCCTCAATTAATTTTCATTCATAGTAAATATTTGATTCTGAGAATCTTAACCCTAGAATACTAACCTTATTTTTTATTCCTTTAATACTAACGTTCGCCTGTGAGGCTGCTTTGAAAAAAAGGACAAATTCTGTCTTTCTAAAACCTTAATTTGTTTAAAAAATGGGCTTAAACATATTTCATATGTTTTTAAAGTAAAAAAATAAAATAATTTAATAATTTTTTTAATATTAATAAAAATAATTCGTATTGAAAATAACACATATTTTATAATCTTTTTGAAAGGGGTCATTTTAAAAAATTAAAAAAAAAAAAAACATTTAAAAGCGAACGCACTCAAACAATCCATAAATTATCTTAAAGGTATTCGTATTTACTTTCACACTTAAAAGGAATTAGTTGTTTATCTTTTCTATTATGACCTGTACTTAAAAATGAAATCGACTTTTTTGTATCACATTGGGCCTTATGAATAAAAACTAAGATCCTTTACGTAAAGTTATTTGAATAAATCAAGTAAAAGGTTTGAAATCTTAAGAAAAAGCAACTGCTTAGTTTTTATTCATAGGGCGCATTCACTGAAATTCACTATCGGTTCCATTCAACGATATTTCTGAAAAAAATACAGCAAACAAAATTACCTTTACTACTAAAGTTCGCCTGTCAGGCGTCAAGAGGGCGTGGAACTTAACCGCGCAAGGCCACTGTACAATGTGCGTTTGCTAACAGCCTCGTACAGCGCTAAGCTGAGTTGGCGCGAACGTTTACTTTGATTATTAAAAGCGTTCCTGAAATATCGCGCGGAAACCGAATTCGTTCCGCCTCACAGGCGAACGTTAGTATTCTAGGGTTAAAATGGTAGTGCTTTTGCAAAAGAGGCAGTGACGTAATGTTCGGCTTAAAAAAGGAGTGAATCCACTGTTGCCAACCGTCCCGCTTTCGGCGGGACTGTCCCGAATTTAAGAGCTATGTCCCGATCCCGGTACGACACATGCCGGGACGCAAAATGTCCAGGTTTTTCGCAAGAAAAAAAATTAAAACATCTCCTTGTAAAAATATTTAGAACTTTTAAGATATGTACTATATGCCGTATTTTGGTTTCTATTGCGATTTCCGGCAGACTGTTTCATTAATAACTAAAAATGCAATGCGGTAGTGCTATGCATACAGCTGTTTGCTAACAATTTGTGCCAACGCCGTTGAATCCGCTGATGATTTTAAAAAGTTAATTGTTTCCCTTTGAATGTGTAAATTCTTGAGTGGAGATGTAAAAAATATCTGTAATTTTGTCCCGGCTAAAATGAGTGAATTGCAGGAAAGAGTCAAAAACGCGATTGCTATTTTATGGACGAATGAATTTTAAACAAAGAATTTAAGCCGTGGCTGCTTGAGGAAGACGCAATTTTTACCAACTTCAAACTACAATGACAACGTGTAAGTAATTTCCTGAGTTTTGCACATAGTCTAGACATATTTTTTTATGTTTTTTGTTGTAAGATTATCTATATTTTTATTAAAAGTCGTGTGAAAAGTTCTCTGCGCCAATAATTTAGTGTTGCACTGTACATATTTACATACATATCGATACCTGAGTGCATCGGCGTAGCCAGAATGAAATTGAGGGGGGGGCTCGACCCTATTAAGCTGGCATTTCANGGGGGGGGGGGGGGGGGGGTGGTCGAGCACCCCCCTGCCCCTACCTGGCTACGCCCATGCCTGAGTGGAAGATCGACCTATCTTTTCAAGAACGCCCTATCTCAGAATTTAGTTGGAGAACGCCCTTTCTCAAAATTTGATTGAAGAACGCCGTATCTCAGAATTCGGTTCAAAAACGCCCTATCTCGGCACATTTTCACATTTTCAATTCTGAGATAGGGCGTTCTTTCAACCAAATTCTGAGGTAGGGCACTTTTCAATAAAATTCTGAAATAGGGCGTTCTTCATTTAAATTATGAAGTAGGGCGGTTTCTGAGATAAGGCGTTTTCGAACTGGCTGCCGAGACAGGTCGATCTTCTACCAGGTGCCGATATATAGAAATTTATAATTTGGTGTAATTTTTATTTAAATTTTAATTTACTTTTTAAGTTATATAAAAGTAACATTGAAGTATCGTTTTATGAAAATTTTTATGCATCCATGAAATTTTATATTGTTTTGTGGTTCTGAGAACATGTTTATGTTTCTATGAAATTTTATATTGTTTTGTGGTTCTAAATAAAAAATTTTCAAAATTTATGTCGTTTAATATGTTATATTACCTACCCTCTTTCCTAACATTGCGTGTCCCGGTTTCAAGAAAGCAAAGGTTGGCAACCGTGAGTGAAACACTCCGATCAGAGTGAAAACGGCAACGCTGCCACTAACGTCAATAGCAATATATTTCGCACCGGCAACAGTAATTGAAAATCGTCGCAGTAACAAAACTAATTTTACATTATGGAGTAAATATTGTGGATATTGTATGCATGTATGTACGAAAATACATAGGTACATATGTACGAAAAAATACCGGGGAGTACTTAGCGCATGTTTGCTGTACACATGTAGATATCTATTTACATATGTACATATTTATACGTATGTGCATACGTTTGTGAACATAGAAACTATACACACTCATCAAATTATTTACAAAATCGTAAGGCGTATTAGTGGCGGTGCTAAATATGTGTCATATCCATTAGATACAATATGCAATTTGCGCGTATCTGTTAAATATTTATGTATGACATGCATATACATATATATATGTATATGTACATGTGTATTTATTACCTGTTGCTCACAACTTATCGAAATACAGTCTAGGGCTTAAGCGCGTAATGTAGAATGGCGAAATAATTTATAAAAGTGTTTTAGTGCGCTGGTGATAATCGTGGCATACAACTCGGTTAGCGGCTATGCATCAGTATTTTTCGTTATCGAACACAATTAGAGAAATTTTATATTACTTCTGAAGACGCGGCATCGGTAAATCAAAACAACAGGCATATATGTATGTGCATATGTATGTAGTGCGCGATATTTGCAAAGGAACCCAGTAGAAATCGGTTGCATGCATTTGTGAAGTGTGCATGCTGTATGAGTGAAAAAGTGTGAACGATTCATGAGCGGTCATGAATTTCCAGAAATAAAGTCAAATTCTGGCGAACTTTAAGCGAACGTACTTTGTTGTTGCTTTAAGTACATTTCTCTATAAATTTGTCTACTATACAGCATCGCAAAATGTTTGTAATAGGGATGCAAATCAAAAAAATACCTACATCGATGTTTTTTTCGATTTGATGCATCGAAATATAGCATCGATCCATATCGATTATCGTATAAAAACATCGCTATTTTCGATGCATCGAATGTTTCTTTTAATTAAAAATATACAGCAGGAAAATAAAACAACAAGAAATGTATTTAGTGATTTAAATAGTTAAAAATTCAAGTTTTTTCTGTTCTTTTAAGAAGTCTTTGAAAAAAGTTTTCGGAAGGTGCTGAAGTGGCGACAGTTGTTAAATGTTTATAAGCATATTGAAGTAATATAAAGCGGTTCACTGGCATTCTATTTCGGTGCACTTATTTGGCAATTTCTTATCATAACTTTTTCTTTTATTTGACTTTCATGTTAACCCTTTTGAGTAAGAAATGATGAAGTTTTTTTATTTAAACAGTCGCTTGTTCAAAAGCACACATACATATGTAACTGATGGACCAGAATTGGCAAAAGCCAAAATGACAAACTCAAACTTGCTAGCACAATTTATATTATTTCACTATGTTGATAAGCTATGTGTAAAAATTTTGGAAATTGCTCTTTAAAATCTGTCCAAATTTCAAAAGAATTTTAGAGTGTCAATATCATATCAATTAATATCATATTGTATATGGTATTTTGGCACTAAACGTCTCTACTAATAAAGTAGCAATTTATTAGTACAAATAACTCATACATTTTGGATAATATTAATAGAATGTACATACATTCTGAAAAATTCACATTTAGAACAGTTACTCAAGTAGCATAGTGGTTAGTTAGTGATTAATTCTACCAAAACTCACAAATTTACACCAAGTTATACACCAGTGTGCTACTTGAGTACTAGAGCGAAGAGCTTGGAAGCATACAAATAATGTAGAGTACATTGCACGCAAAATTCGATGCATCGAAAAAAAATACATCGATATATCGATGTATATCGGAAAGTCCAAAACATCGGTTTTATTCGATGCATCGAATAGCAAACATCGATGTTTCCGATGCATCGATGTTTTGTTGCATCCCTAGTTTGTAATATTTTCAGTGTAGTGCAAAAGTTTTAGCGAACGGACGTGTTGTGCGATAATATTTTCGGCACTAACAGAGCTTTTACATGATATGGATTTTTGTTTATACTCGTATGTGCCATAAATAAAAATGTATCAGAAAAGTAGAATTTACATATGGAAATATATGTATATCGTGTTAGAATGCTTTAACACTATTCCATTAATGCAGAATTACTACATGTGCAAGCACTAATTATGTGTATTTTTGTATGCCTGCATACTAGGGCTTTTGCATGTTTGAAACATTAATACAGCCATATGCATACAACAGTAGTACAAGTGTATGGTTAGAGTTAGAAATGGGCGCGGGATATAGGGACCCGCGGGACCCACGGTACTGATTTAAAATTGGCCGGGATGGGCGGTATCGGGAAGATCTGTAAAAATATGGCGGGCGGGACGGGACCAAAATCCTTTCCGGACACTCCCGATAAAACCGCTACCCCCGCAAATTCAGAAAACCTTCCTTAAAAACGATGTTTGATATATGCCAGATCTTTCATTATTATTTTAATTTTTTTTAAATAATTTGAAAGACATGAACATTTTTGTCAACCTTCGATCGGTTTGCAAACCTCGCCACACTCATCTCAACCGATCGTTTCAATTCGTTGTCCGTTTGTAGCCTGCTTTAGAGATAGATATCGGGACCCACGAGACTCGCGGTACAATTCTGAAAAACGTCGGGATGGGCGGGTTCGGGACTTAAAAATCGAATTTCGAGATGGGCGGGATCGGGATTATAAACTTAGTCCCGTGCCCATATCTAGTTAGAGGACACATACGCTCTGAGTCAAATTTTCTGAAACGGGCCACTAAAAATTAAATAATAGAATTTCAAATATGTTTTGGCAGATATTCAAAGATCTATATGTGAAAATGAATGTCTTAAAATATTTTTTGAAAATTTCAATTTTTCAAAAATTTATTCATAAATGAATTTTTGACCTTGTTTTCATAAATCTTATATATAAAAATAAGTGCACGTTTTTGGTGTGACCTCATAACTTGAGAACGGCTTCACCGAATTCAACCAAATTTATGTGGCATATTCGACCTATCATGCAGATGGTTATGCGAAGTTTGCTCGAATTCGGAAAAAGGGGCGTGGCACCACCCATACTAACTAAAATATAAAAATAAGTGAACGTTTTTGGTGTGATCATATAACTTGAGAACGGCTTCACCGAATTCAACCAAATTTATGCGGCATATTCGGGCTATCATGCAGATGGTTTACGTGAAGTTTGCTTGAATTCGGAAAAGGGGGCGTGGCGCCTCTATTTTATATATAAAAATTAGTGAGTTAGCTTATAACTTGAGAACGGCTTCACCGAATTCAACGAAATTTATATAGTTTATTCGGGGTTATTCGGGCGGTATTGGAAAAGAGGGCNTACATTGATATTCGGTCTTTCTATCTTGGACTTTGGAGAATCAACACGTGTGTTTAATATAGTTCTTAATTCATATTTCATTTTATTTTTTTTGTCAATTTCAATATTTTTGCACAAATTTGTTACAGCGTTTCGTACGAAAAGTTTGAGTACACTGGAAATTTTCCATGCAGGTATTTCTCCTCATTGATTTATAGTGAACAAAACCATTGTGGGAAATTGTGGCTGTGTTGTGTTCTTTGGCTTCGAATGAAGTTTTTTCAAGTGCTCTTTTACTGTCGATTGTGAATTTCATTTGATTATTTTAAAAAAAGTGCGTTTACCATACGATTTATCGAATTCGTTCCTATGCATTGAGTTTTTCGTTCGCTATTGAATAAAATGCCACGATCCTGTCGTTCAAATATAGGCCGACATACGCGTCTTGCGAACATGATGTTATCGCAAAGAAGATCGCAAAATGTTGAGGAGCACTCCCAACCAAAGGAAGTACGGCGTGCAGGATTTTTCATTAATTTTTCAATATATGGCGTAGAGAAGCACACCGGGGTACCGCTAGTTTTATATATTAATTGCAATATTTCCGTAAATATTGAATGAAAAAGAACCAAATTTTAATGGTGCATTCAGAAAAGTAGCAGAATCGAAAAAAATTTTCATACTGGAAAAATTTAATTTTTTAATAGTATTAAATAATAATAAATTTCCCAATAAACAAT